CTTACAGCCAGACCTCGTTGACTGGTTTCTTATAGCTTGGTCTCTGACCTTCTAGGCTGTTGTTGACGGCCCAGTTGAGTCACAGAGTAGACAACGCTCATATACAGCTTGAGAAGAGAGGTGCTAAGCATATACACAGCTTCGCGACCAGGTACGACTGTTATCTTAAAGCTACAGACTTGGATACATGTGTCTTACTGCCGACAGTAGCCATCTAAAGCCACACCTTGTAGAACGAGCTTTCGTAGTGACAAACATTTCGCCCTATTATCTGTAGAGCTTTATCAGGTGATCGCTGGCTTGATAAAGCTATATGCAGACCGAAACGTCGTCCCAGTGAAAGCTTGTCGTACAGCTTGTGTCCTCAGGAGAGATGAGTCCAGGAGCTGAGGCTCACCACCTCCAAATCTAGCCGCACCAGGACCCACAAAAACCCAGGAAAGGTGAACGTCCCTGGCATGAATCTCTTGAACCACTGCTGGCTCCTGCTGCTGCTCTGTTTTTGCCTGTACATTGTAGCCTGCAGCAGCGCAGCCTGGGGGTGTTGGGCGAGGCTCTTGTTCCCATCATTCCCTCTCCCCAGGCATCAGCGAGCGCCCTCATGTCCCCTGATTCTGCCCACAGGGGTTGCATTTAAGGGCACTGGCCCTTCCCCCTCCCTCCCCTTCAGCCTCGACCTTTTTGTCACATTCGTAAATGGATCCAGAGAAGAATATACTTATTTTTTTTTTATTTTGGTTCATTGAAACATCAAGGTTAAAATTATGGGTAGACTAACCAGGACTGGGAATTTTTGAAGCCAATATTTACGGAACATTAACGTACATTATAGATAAAAAATAATAGAACGTGGAATAATGTACAATATATATGTATGTATGTATGTATTTGGAAATTCTTGTGTGTGGTGCGGCAGGTGTGTTGCCCTACGCTACACCTGCTCCTTCGTTGTACATACCTGCTAACATCCTATCAGTGATACGGTATAAATATTTGAATGTCGTAGCCTACGTTGACAACCCTGGCTGTTACTGTTCTGTTGTGTGATTGTTGTGTAGTTGTGATTGTTGTGTAGTTGTGATTGTTGTGTAGTTGTGGTTGTTGTTGTTGTGATTGTTGTGTAGTTGTGGTTTTTGTTGTTGTGATTGTTGTGTAGTTGTGGTTGTTGTTGTTGTGATTGTTGTGTAGTTGTGGTTGCTGTTGTTGTGTAGTTGTGGTTGTTGTGTAGCTGTGATTGTTGTGTAGTTGTGGTTGTTGTTGTGATTGTTGTGTAGTTGTGGTTGTTGTTGTTGTTGTGATTGTTGTGTAGTTGTGGTTGTTGTTGTTGTTGTGTAGTTGTGGTTGTTGTTGTTGTGATTGTTGTGTAGTTGTGGTTGTTGTTGTTGTGATTGTTGTGTAGTTGTGGTTGTTTCTGTTGTGATTGTTGTGTAGTTGTGGTTGTTGTTGTTGTGATTGTTGTGTAGTTGTGCTTGTTGTTGTTGTTATTGTTGTGTAATTGTGGTTGTTTTTGTGATTGTTGTGTAGCTGTGGTTGTTGTTGTTGTTGTGATTGTTGTGTAGTTGTGGTTGTTGTTGTTGTGACTGTTGTGTAGTTGTGGTTGTTGTTGTTGTGATTGTTGTGTAGTTGTGGTTGTTGTTGTTGTTGTGATTGTTGTGTAGTTGTGGTTGTTGTTGTTGTGTAGTTGTGGTTGTTGTTGTTGTTGTTGTGATTGTTGTGTAGTTGTGGTTGTTGTTGTGATTGTGTAGTTGTGGTTGTTGTTGTTGTGATTGTTGTGTTGTAGTTGTTGTTCTGATTGTTGTGTAGTTGTGGTTGTTGTGATTGTTGTGTTGTAGTTGTTGTTCTGATTGTTGTGTAGTTGTGGTTGTTGTTGCTCTGTCGTTGATGTTGTGTGTTTGTTATTGTGTGGTTGCCCCCTATTACTCTCTTAACCCGTTAAAGGGTGTGGGAATGCTAACTCCGAGAGAGAGAGAGAGAGAGAGAGAGAGAGAGAGAGAGAGAGAGAGAGAGAGAGAGAGAGAGGAGAGAGAGAGAGAGAGAGAGAGAGAGAGAGAGAGAATGTGACAAGAGCGGGTCTCAAGGCTGCGACGCCTTGAGGTCAAGGCTAAAAAACTCCTCCTGGAGCGAGGTTGTTTCTCGAGACCTTGACTGCTGCTGTTGTTACTGCTGCTGTTGCTGCTAGTGCTGCTGTTGCTGCTAGTGCTGCTGTTGCTGCTGGTGCTGCTGTTACTGCTGGTGCTGCTGTTGCTGCTGGTGCTGCTGTTACTGCTGGTGCTGCTGTTACTGCTGGTGCTGCTGTTACTGCTGGTGCTGTTGTTGCTGCTGCTGTTGTTGTTCCTGCTGCAGTTGCTGTTACTGCTGTTGCTGTTGCTGGAGGCAGCGACGGAGATGACACGTAAATCAGCACCCGCAGGAACCGTAACTTGCTAACCAAGAACAAAACCTTATTTGGATTATTAACACCCGTGGATTAATAATAATCTGCTGGAATAAAGAGATCGGCTAACACGAAGAATTGGTTAGAACAAAGAGTTGGCTGGAACAAAGAGTCGGCTGGAACAAAGAGTTAGTTGGAACAAAGACTCGACTGGAACGAAGACTCAGCCGGAAAGAAAGGTCGGCTGGAACACAAAGTAAATAAAAACTCTGAGCTGATTTCAGTGGAAAATCTGCTATAACATATCAATAAAGCTGACTGGGGCACGAGAGGCTGCAGTACCAGGGAGCATGGAAGACAGCGAACATCTTCAGCGAAGTCCGGTCTTCATCTTTCGGCTCTGTCCAGGACTATCTAGGTAGGGCTCAGTACGGCGTAAGCTGCCGAATGGCCCTATAATCCCCCAACAAGAGACCCTCTGGGTGTACCTTCACGTCCTCGCTACCTCCTGTGTATTCACTCTCCCGGCTCAGGGGTTGACAGATTTCATTATCTTGTGTGCAAACCCATCCTGTGTGATGGAGTATGATAAGAAAGCCGTCCTGCGTGATGGAGTGTGATTGGAACACCACCCTGTGTGATGGAGTATGATTGGAACACCATCCTGTGTGATGGAGTATGATCGGAACACCATCCTGTGTGATGGAGTATGATCGGAACACCATCTTGTGTGATGGAGTATGATCGGAACACCATCCTGTGTGATGGAGTATGATCGGAACACCATCCTGTGTGATGGAGTATGATCGGAACACCATCCTGTGTGATGGAGTATAATCGGAACACCAGCCTGTGTGATGGAGTATGATCGGAACACCAACCTGTGTGATGGAGTATGATCGGAACACCTTCCTGTGTGATGGAGTATGATCGGAACACCATCCTGTGTGATGAAGTATGATCGGAACACCATCCTGTGTGATGGAGTATGATCGGAACACCAGCCTGTGTGATGGAGTATGATCGGAACACCATCCTGTGTGATGAAGTATGATCGGAACACCAGCCTGTGTGATGGAGTATGATCGGAACACCAACCTGTGTGATGGAGTATGATCGGAACACCTTCCTGTGTGATGGAGTATGATCGGAACACCATCCTGTGTGATGAAGTATGATCGGAACACCATCCTGTGTGATGGAGTATGATCGGAACACCAGCCTGTGTGATGGAGTATGATCGAAACACCAACCTGTGTGATGGAGTATGATCGGAACACCAACCTGTGTGATGGAGTATAACGGGAAACCAAAATGCGTGATCGAGAATAACAGGAAAAAAATCATCCTACTAAATGAGCATGATATAACATGGGATGGCATAAGGCAGGAAAACTGTCCTGCTGGATGATGAATGTGAGTACAACATCATCCTGACGGAGTGTGCCGGGGGGGGGGAGGGGAAAGGAACATCCTACGTGATAGAATACGATAAAAAAAATCCCGTGTGAAGGAGTATGACCAAAACCCATCCTGAGTGAAAGCCGTGTTAGAGGTAAGAGTTACCCTTCTAACCTAAAATATCACGTAGACGAGGATAAGCACTCGATGAGACTTTTCTTAATATTGACATTAATAATGAATCAAAAATGTATCTGCTTCCCTCACTTGGTTATTAATGGTGCTGCCACTCTGCAGACTCACGTACCCCGTCCCGTCCTGTACAACAACAGCAACACTGACTTACCAGAGGCAATAAGGTTGCTGCAGGGAACCAGGATAATCACTGGTCTGACCAGTTTTGGATACAGATTGCCGTAGGTGTCTCCCTTTGGCGATACAGGCTGGATCCTCTGTCTTCTGATACATATGGACACGTTTTTATTTTATGCCTCTGCTCACCTGGTAGTAAAATTATATATCTGTCTGTTAGCCGACTATTGTGGATTGCATCCAGTGAAAAAAAATCGCTACGCAAATGTATTAGAAACTGACTGGTAGGTTTATTGGGTTTAAGGCATGTCGACTACATGTGGGTTATTAAGGTTGCATGTCACCTGTGCAAGTCAGAGGGATACCTTGGTTCTGAAATAAAAAAAAATTATTTATCGTCTGGTTTCATTATTTTTTTTAATAAGCGTACCTGACTGAGTGTCATATCAAAGTTTCAGTAATACCTGAAATACGTATTAAAGTAAAAACTCAGCGTATATATACACTTGAGACATACACACTTTTCTGTATATATACCCTTGTTAGAAAGTTCAGTCTTGTTGGAGGTCATACCCAGGGTAAACCTCTCAATGCATAAGACAACTTCAGACCTCTGGTATTGTTAGTGTTGGGAGTAAAGGCATCCGTGCAATGCTATGTAATTATGTTGATGAAAATACGTGAAATGCTTCATAGTTACGTATATAAACTAGGATGCAGTAATTTTCATTAATATTAAGTTTATTGAAAATACCACTAGGGATATTTACTAACAAACGTGTATCCAATTACAACCAGTTACCTTAAAAAATTTTACATTTTTTTTTACGAGTAAGATGACGCATCCAATGAGTGTGAGAGGAGGGTGCGCATGCGTGGTGGTGCTGGTGTGAGCATCACGACATAAGTGCTGCACATGCGTGGTGGTGCTGGTGTGAGCATCACGACATAAGAGTGCTGCACATGCGTGGTGGTGCTGGTGGTGGAGTCATCATCACAACATAACAGTCCTCACCATGTTGTTACTGAGGTTGTGTCTCCTCTTAGCCACTACCTCCCTCACCCTCCACGAGAATGTAGGTAAGACTGAAAAATCCTTCCTAATATAAGGAAGACTGATGACAGGATAAGCAAGGCACGTGTGCAGCACTATAGTATCTTCAATGTCGAAACGTTTCGCCTGCGTAACAGGCTTCAGTTCAATACAGGCGACTGAAGAAGTGAAAAATTTCAACATTAAAGATACCCAACAGCTGCCCATGTGTCTTGCTCATCAAGTTGTCGGTATTATGTACCATTTATATTATGATAGAGATTAATGGTATGTTCAACACATGAACGTTGAGTTAGAAGATGGAGTGTAACTAGAATTACGGCGGCAGTGAGTTAGAGACAAGTAGAGGAACTAAAACAATGGAATGTTAGTACGAAGTATGAGCCAGTGTTGAAAGAAGAATAAAATTTTGTTTAGGTTATTAACCGGAGGGTTAATTAACCGGATGGTTATTAACCCAGTCAGGGTGACATTACACTGGTTTTTTGCCATTTAAGTCCTATTAACCCTCTCTCATGATGGAACCCACGCCAGTCGCCTATCACCCGAGTACCTACGTACTGCTAAGTGAACAGGGACAACAGGATCAAACCCCAATCCCCCTCAGTGTTTGAGCTGAACATGATACCAATTACTAAACCCGTATGGGTGAAAGGGAATTAATCAAGCTTGATTCAAAGCAGCGAAGGGTAACTGGAATCGAGATCCCTCCACCTTGAAGTGTGAGTGTGCTGGAGTGAGGAGCAGGTAATGAGGAGGAGGTCGAGGAGGCGTGGTGAGGATTTACAAACACTAGCTTGCCCAGCAGATGTTTGTGGTTATAGAAGGGTGGGTGCAGGAGGGATGAGGAATGATTGGTGTAATGACGAGGTGGAAGAGGTAATATGGATGAAAAGATAAACAGCATGTGAAGTATTTTACAATGGGTGGACTGCGTGCAGAGAAAATTATAGTTATAAACCAGTGATGAAAGAGGCGAAGGAAGACACAAAATGAAAGCACAATTGTATAACAAAATGGTTTATAACCAGATGCTGAAGAATTGAGACACTTATGCAACACATGGGAATCTTTATTGAAGAAACGTTTCGCCACAGTGGCTTCATCAGTCCAATACAAAGTAGAAATGAGTAAGGAGAGGAGGAGTTCGAGGTAATCAGTCCCTCAACCTGGAATCGATGTGTTCAGTCCATCACTCTTGTAGGAAGTGCAGCATAGTGCCAGAGAGGTGGCTTATATACTGCAGTCAGATGAGTTGAAGCAGGAGGAGGCGGGATCACAGTGGGACCTGCCACTTGTGTAAGTAGGTCGTCGTCCAAAGGTTCGGCAAGCGTAGAAGTCTTTGTACCAAGATCCCATGATGTTGCAGTGTCTGACAGATGTGGTGAATGGTTTTGAAAACCGACAAGTTGAAGAATTGTCGGTTTTCAAACCAATTCACCACATAACCAGATGCGTAAAAATGCCATCAATTATTTCCAGAATTTATCACCATTACAATTTTATATGATTAAGAAAAACCGTCCATTTATTTTAGCATTGCTCTCCCTTCAAGGGAGGTGCCTGGACGCTGGTAAACGGCTCTTGATCCAGGTAACTGGAGCTACCACGCGCTTTCTTGCATTAAACCAGATTGCAGGAGCAAGGAATGTTATATTGTTATAGCGAATACTGGCATGTTACAGTGGTTAAGAATGAAATAGCATGTTAGTTTTGTTAAGGACTATCATAGTCGTACCAGATGGTGGGAAGGGCTTATTGACTCTTGCTTTCCAGTAATGACACACAGGTGGTACAGCTGGACACGCTGCCACCACTGTACCTCCTTGCTTATGTACCCCAGTACATGGTGACGTATGGCGCCCTGTGATACTGTGTATATCATGTAGGGAGCTCCTGAGGACCTGTGAAGAGCTTTGCCACCAGTGATGACATATGTGTCATGTAAGGAGCTAATGGCTACTTGAGAAGACCTTTGTCACCTCTAACACTGCGGTCTGTGGTGAGCTTCATGACCCTAAGCTCACCTTAGGTTCGAAGTGCGTATCAAGGATGACTTGCACTAACTTATAATTGTTATTGGGTATTTTTTTTGTTTCACTGATAGTGTAGAGTGAACACGTAGTCTGTTCTTCCTTCCCCTTTAGAGGTATTCTCTAACTAGCGCACTCAGTTCACACACTAAGGTCTGTGGTTCGATCCCCGGTACGGGTGGAAACATTAGGACGTGTTTCCTGGTGACACCTGCTGTCCCTGTTCACCTAGCAGTATATAGGTACACGGGTGTTAGCCGAATGGTGTGGGTCGCATCCTGGGACAAAATTTATATAATTTGCCCGAAATGCTCTACATAACAAGGGGCTTTCTGTATAGTCGTATGTCATTGATGTCAGCTAGGCCTGTATACCTTGTAGATGCACTTGTAAAAATAATTATTATTATTATTATTATTATTATTATTATTATTATTATTATTATTATTATTAATGTCGTCATGTTTAGTTCCTCTAGTATTCCTCTTCTCAGTTCTGGGACTAGTCTCGTTGTAAACCTTCGCACTCTTTCCAACTTTACTTGCGGTTCGATACTGGCGTTGCATACTCCAAGATGGACCTGACATATGCCGTGTATAAGGTCGTGAGTGCCTCCTTGTTGAGGTTCCTGAAAGCCTCATATTTGCCAGTCTCGAGTTGCTGCAGCAGTTATTCTACTGATGTACACCTCAGGGGAACCACTTGCAGTTATGCTCACCCTGAGGTCCTTCTCTATCATGGAGGTTTGCAGCCTTTGTCCCCCGAACCTGTACTCTGCTTCCAATCGTCTTTCCCCTCCCCGATTTTCATAACCCTGCATTTCCTGAAGTTAAGTTTTAATAGCCACTTGCTAACCCAATCCTGCTGCTTGTTAAGATACATTTATAGGCTTTCTGGTCTGCTCTGTATTCTCTTTATTAGTTTCACTGTGTCCCTCCCTTCCTTTATGAGAGGTAAAGATGTCACCAGCGGTGCTGGTGATGAGTGAGTGTTATTACGTACCTCCCTCCCTGCAGGAGAGGTGCTGGTACCTTCAGCAGTGCTCGAGTCGGTAGCTCAGAAGTTCGTAGCGGAGCGGAATAATTTGTTGTCCCAACAGTGTACCAAGACAATCACAGCAGCATGGAACTACCATACCAACCTCACCCTCCACAACAAGCTGATCCTGGTATGTAAGGGCCACAAGCCTGTTCATTATACCAGGTTATGTGTTCGATATAGTTGTTAATGAGAGAGTTAAGAGACAGACACACTAGTTCCAAGGTGGAGTTAGGTTTCAGATTAAATACTATAAATGAGTAATAGGAGTAAGAAGTAATTTGTTGCATTTATTGATTTGACAAAACAAACTCATTATGGGTTGAATGAGGCAGCAATGTTGCGAGTGTTGCAGATGACAGGAACGGAAGGTAAGGTATTGGTGTTGCAGATGACAGGAACGGAAGGTAAGGTATTAGTGTTGCAGATGACAGGAACGGAAGGTAAGGTATTAGTGTTGCAGATGAGAGGAACGGAAGGTAAGGTATTAGTGTTGCAAAGTGATTACTCAGTAGCCTGTATGCCGCCACTGCCAATATTACTATCATATTTAATGATAAACACTAAACCCTTATGGGTCTTACAACGCAAGGATGTGTGAAGACTCCACCCTCCGTCCTCTAACCGCTAGACAGACAGAATTATACTCAACAATCTTTTTTTTTTTTAAAGACTTAAAAAAAATTATTGGACCCGTTCCCTCACTTCTCTGAATTATATAATGACGAAGAGTTTCATTATCCCAGGAACTATAATGGAGATGAAGAAAAACATTATACCTGAGATCAAACTGAAAATGATGGAAAGTAACAGAGGTGTGGTACATGTTACTCTCAGAGACATGACTGGTACATGTTACTCTCAGAGACATGACTGGTACATGTTACTCTCAGAGACGTGACTGGTACATGTTACTCTCAGAGACATGACTGGTACATGTTACTCTCAGAGACGTGACTGGTACATGTTACTCTCAGAGACATGACTGGTACATGTTACTCTCAGAGACATGACTGGTACACGTTACTCTCAGAGACATGACTGGTACATGTTACTCTCAGAGACATGACTGGTACATGTTACTCTCAGAGATATGACTGGTACACGTTACTCTCAGAGACATGACTGGTACATGTTACTCTCAGAGACATGACTGGTACATGTTACTCTCAGAGATATGACTGGTACATGTTACTCTCAGAGACATGACTGGTACATGTTACTCTCAGAGACATGACTGGTACATGTTACTCTCAGAGATATGACTGGTACATGTTACTCTCAGAGACATGACTGGTACATGTTACTCTCAGAGACATGACTGGTACATGTTACTCTCAGAGATATGACTGGTACATGTTACTCTCAGAGACATGACTGGTACATGTTACTCTCAGAGACATGACTGGTACATGTTACTCTCAGAGATATGACTGGTACATGTTACTCTCAGAGACATGACTGGTACATGTTACTCTCAGAGACATGACTGGTACATGTTACTCTCAGAGATATGACTGGTACATGTTACTCTCAGATACATGACTGGTACATGTTACTCTCAGAGACATGACTGGTACATGTTACTCTCAGAGACATGACTGGTACATGTTACTCTCAGAGACATGACTGGTACATGTTACTCTCAGAGACATGACTGGTACATGTTACTCTCAGAGATATGACTGGTACATGTTACTCTCAGAGATATGACTGGTACATGTTACTCTCAGATACATGACTGGTACATGTTACTCTCAGAGATATGACTGGTACATGTTACTCTCAGAGACATGACTGGTACATGTTACTCTCAGAGACATGACTGGTACATGTTACTCTCAGAGATATGACTGGTACATGTTACTCTCAGAGACATGACTGGTACATGTTACTCTCAGAGACATGACTGGTACATGTTACTCTCAGAGACATGACTGGTACATGTTACTCTCAGAGACGTGACTGGTACATGTTACTCTCAGAGACATGACTGGTACATGTTGCTCTTAGAGACATGACTGGTACATGTTACTCTCAGGGACATGACTGGTACATGTTACTCTTAGAGACGTGACTGGTACATGTTACTCTCAGAGACATGACTAGTACATGTTACTCTCAGAGATATGACTGGTACATGTTACTCTCAGAGACATGACTGGTACATGTTACTCTCAGAGACATGACTGGTACATGTTACTCTCAGAAACATGACTGGTACATGTTACTCTCAGGCTATTAGTATTATTAATGTTTATGTTTAATTGTCTCCCTCTTCCTCCTCTTCCTTCAGCTGGGGGCGCAGGAGGACTACAGGGTCCTACAGAAGGATTCGTGGATGTTGGCACAGAGCTGGAAGGAGGTGAAGCACCACCTTCAGGATCCCTCCCTCAGACACCAGCTGAAGATTATGCTGGTCCTGGGTCCCGCAGCGCTCTCCTCTCCCTACCTGGCTGCGGTAAGGGACGAGAGGGATGAGGGAGATTGAGGGGTCAGGGCTGAGGAAGATTGAGGGGTCAGGGCTGAGGAAGATTGAGGGGTCAGGGCTGAGGGGTAAGGAATTGAAGGTCAGGGCTTGAGGGTGAGGGAGCTGAGAGTCAGGGCTTAAGAATGAGGGAGCTGAGAGTCAGGGCTTAAGAGTTAGGGAGTTGAGAGTCAGGGCATAAGAGTGAGGGAGCCGAGAGGAACTGGAAGAGTCACAACCACATCAGAAAGATTCTCCTCTTAGTAAATGAATGCTCGAGCCTTCAGTCCTCCCTGCGCAGACTGACCCGTACGGGCTTAGCGCCTCTCAACAATAATATTATTATGCGAGAGCTATTATTTAATCAGTAAGCTTGACATGGAAGAAATATTTAAAACCCCATTTACAACACACACACACACACACACACACACACACACACACACACAGCCAGGATCTGCGACTCGACCCTTGCAACACTAATTGGTTAAGTACATGTACATCAAAATGGTATACAATACCGACAGGTTGGTAGGTAAGACACATAGGCAACAGTTAGGCAACTTTATTCCGAAACGTTTCGCCTACACAGTAGGCTTCTTCAGTCGAATACAGAAAGTAGGCATGAACAGTAGAGATGTGAAGACGATGTAATCAGTCCATCACCCTTGAAGTCGTAGAATTTTGAGGTTGTCAGTCCCTCAGCCTGGAGAAGTTCAGTTCCATAGTCAGGAACTGTCTGATAGTTCCTGACTATGGAACTATCTATCAGGAACTATCTATCAGATAGTTCTAGGCTGAGGGACTGACAACCTCAAAATTCTACGACTTCAAGGGTGATGGACTGATCACATCGTCTTCACATCTCTACTGTTCCTGCCTACTTTCTGTATTCGACTGAAAAAGCCTACTATGTAGGCGAAACGTTTCGGAATAAAGTTACCTAACTGTTGCCTATGTGTCTTACCTGGTTAAGTACACTTGTCTGATTACTGCAGTACATTGTAAACAGGTGTAAGATCATGCAAATGACTGATACATAATATTTGCCGGGAGAGGGGAAGACCAGCCTTTGCGAATCACATTAGTTCACTCAACGTATCACCAGAGGCGCATATACCGTCAGCAGTGAGTGGAACATATAAAATCTTGCAACTGTTTTCAAGCATCGTTGTTTGCAACGTGCGTCAGGAGAGAAGTAGACTTTCCAGCACTGCATGAAGCGCATGCTTGAACAGTGTGTTCGGAAACCGCAGGAGGTGCTGAGGGTTATAAGTGAGAATGTTGATCTGTGAGGAGAAACTCAAGGAACTGAACCTTTGAAGAGTGAAAAACCAGGGAAGACATGATAATGACGTACAATATACCCTGTTTACTGTAGACATGTCAGACGGACACATACATGAATAATAATAATAATAATAATAATAATAATAATAATAATAATAATAATAATAATAATAATAATAATAATCTTTATTCCTACCAGTACATAATAATACAGCTGATACAGACCTAGCTGACATTAATAACATACTATATAGAAAGTCCCTGGTTATTCAGATCATTTTTAGGAACTTAGGCTAATCTTGTCCCCCAGGATGCCACCAATAACTGTCGTCTAATACCCAGGTTCCTACTTATGGCTAGGTAAACAAAGGTAACAGGTGTTAGGTAACATGCTTAACGTTTCACCCGTGCCGGGGATCGATTCCTGGACCCTCGGTGGGTGAACTAAGGACGCTACCAACCAAGCCAGAAGCACCACTACCTATAAGAACAAAGACCAGTAAGAAGGAACCCTTCCACCTCAAGACAAAGTGAATTTTTAGTGTTCAGAAGAACTGACGTTTGTTTACACTTGTGTTCCAGTATCTAAGAACTGTGGAGGGGATGAAGGAGGTGTACAGGAGCGCCTCTGTCTGTGACTACTACACCCCCGACCTCTGTGGCCTCACCCCCCAGCAAGGTAAGGAGCAGGGGTAGTAGGTGCTACCCCAGCAAGGTAGGGAACAGGGGTAATAGATGCTACCTCTGCTGTTACCTCTTCCCCCAGCAACGTAAGGAGTTGGGGTAGTAGGTGCTACCCCAGCAAAGTAGGGAGCAGGGGTAGTAGGTGCTAACCCTTTGGCCTCCCCCCCACAGCAAGGTAGGGAGCAGAGGGCAGTAGGTGCTACCCCTGCTGTGGCCTCACCCCTCCAGCAAGGTTGGAAGCAATGTGCACTAGGTGTTACCCCTGCTGTGGCCTCACCCCGCAACAAGATATGGAGCAGAGGTTGTGGCCTCACCCTCCCCAGCAGGTAGGAAGCAGGGGTAGTAGATGCTATCCCTGTTAGGACCTCACCCCTCAGGAAAGTAGGGAGCAGGGGTAGTAGGTGCTACCCCTGCTGTGGCCTCACCCCCCCCCCAACTCAGACTAACACATTTCAGCACCTTGTATGAGCAACATCCTGCTTGATGGAGTATGGCAGGGAAACGTAGCTAGCTTTTGCTCCCACTGTCACATAGAATAGTGTAGCAGCACACTGCTGGTGATTCTAATTTTGCTAAATAAACAAAAATAGTTACGGAATAGGGAACACCTATATATTTTTATATGGGGCCTCCACTAGCGAGGTTTCCCACTTCCATTCCACTAGCTATGGCCTCCACTCCCAACTAAGCACCTCCAGGTCACACTCTGGGTGGCACTCACAAGTTACTACCCAGGGTAGTACCCTCAGGGTGGCACTAACATGGCACTACCTCCGGGTCACAGGAGTGCAGGAGATCTTCAAGAAGAGCACTGACGCAGCTGAGTTGGCATATATCTGGAGGTCGTGGAGAGACCAGACTCGTGGTATACGCAAATCGTACCGTCGCTACATGGACCTGGCCAACCTTGCGGCCCATACCAACAGTGAGTGTTAATCAGTTACCACTTTGTCCTAGGCACATGTCGATTAGACATATGCGCGCGATGTGTGTGTGTGTGTGTGTTCAGGTGTGTGTTTTACATGTGTTTGGGCCTTTTTACAGTTGTGTATGTGTGTGTGTATTCTACAACAGGTGATATGTCTATTTGCAAATGTGTGTGAGCTCGTGTTTTACAGGTGTGTGTATTTATATGGATGTGTTTTTACTGGTGTCTATGCGTTTATTTTGCAGGTGTATGTGTCTGTTTAAAGATGTCTGTGGGCTCATATTTTACAGATGTGTGTACAGATGTGTGCACCGATGGTGTGTATGTGTGTACAAGTGTGTGCACAGGTGGTGGGTGTGCACATGTGTATGTTATTCAAGGAATGCATATAATTCCTTACCTTAGCTGCAGCAACATACAAAGACGCTCTTCGTAGCGACCTTAGTAACCCACGGCAATCCTGGCCGGTCACCTTATCAGATCTGGTCAACAAGGTGGAGTTGGAACTAGGTGAGTACGGTGGCGGAGGCTTCAGGCAAGACCTGCAGGAGGCGTGGCAGCAGCTGAGGCCACTCTACCTCCAGCTTCACGCCTACACCAGGAGGAAACTCCGTCAGGTAACCACTTCCTTAACTCTTGAAGGGAAGAGAAGGGGTACTTTGATGATAGTCTGCTTGCAGTCCTTTCTTAAGGAACAGTCTTTCTCACCTGTCACCTTGGTGGTCGTGGACAGGTGTACGGGCCCCAGGTGGTGACGGAGCGAGGCCCCTTACCTGCCCACCTTCTGGGAGACCTGTGGGCCCAGCAGTGGAAGGTTTGGGACCTCATCATACCTTTCCCTGGCAAGACCAACCCCAACGTCACCCTCGAGATGAAGAGACAGGTGTGTATTACTAAGTAATAGGCAGATACAAGTGTGTGTGTGTGTGTGTGTGTGTGTGTGTGTGTGTGTGTGTGTGTGTGTGTGTGTGTGTGTGTGTGTGTGTGTGTGTATGTGTGTGTGTGTGTGTGTGTGTGTGTGTGTGTGTGTGTGTGTGTGTGTGTGTGTGTGTGTGTGTGTGTGTGTGTATGTGTGTGTCTGTGTGTGTGTGTGTGTGTGTGTGTGTGTGTGTGTGTGTGTGTGTGTGTGTGTGTGTGTGTATGTGTGTGTACTTGCCAATTTGTACTCTTCTATTTGCGATTGCAGGGATTCGGGTCTCGGCTTTTTGGTCATATCATATATCATGTATAGTGTATTGACTGGCTCTTTGTCGAAGTTCCTGAAAAAGCTAATGTTATATTTGTCAGATGTGCGTATGCTGCAGAAGTTAATCAGTTTATCTGCGACTCAGCTGATATGTTCGGTACTATGCTCACCCCGAGATCCTTTTTCTTTGAGCGAGGTTTGCATCCTTCGTCCCTAGAGATTGTACTGCACTCCATTTCTCGTCCTCTTTACCTCCCCAATTTTCAAAACCTGGTATTTGCTGGGGCTGAGTGTCAATAGCCACTTGCCAGGCCAGTCCTGTTGTGTGTCCAGGTTCGTTGCAAACTTTCAGTGTCTTTTCCAGTTTTTATTTTCCTTAGTTGCACATCACCTACAGACAGGGATTCATCAGACTATGCCTTCTGGCACGTCGTTTATGTACACCAGATATAATGCTGGTCCCAATACTGATCCTTGTGGAACCCCACTTGTCACACTTGCCTAAGCAATCGTGCTTTGTTTCCTTAACTTTATGTATTGCTTGATGTACTGTAGTGCATTCCTTGCTCCTATAGCTTGTGTCCCAGTTTCTTGTGCGGTACTGTCAAAAGCTCTTACAGTCCAAGAATATGCAACTCACCCATCCCCCCCCTCTCTCTCTCTCTCTCTCTCTCTCTCTCTCTCTCTCTCTCTCTCCTGTCTCACTACTGTTACCTTGTCATAAAACTCAAGTAGGTTTGTGCGACAGGATTTATCATCTTTAAAACGGTGCTGGTTGTTGTTATGAATTCACTCCTTCCCAGGTACTCCACTACTCTTTTCTAATTATCCTCTCAATAACTTTGCACATTATCCATGTCAATAACACCGACCTGTAGTTTAATGCTGCCTATCTCTCCCCTTTTTTAAATGCTGCAACTACGTTTTCTGCTTTCCACATCTCTTGCAGTTGCCCTATATCAATCGACTTGTTGAAGATTTTAACTAGCGGTACACACTGCATTCCTGCTCCCCCTCTCTGGGGAAGATAATGTTTGGTCCCATTGCCTTCGAGGTATCTAGATCACTCAGTAGTTTCTTCACCTTTTCTCCCGTTGTGCATTTTGTCCAGTACTCGTTGATGTATTCACTCTCTCTCTCTTTCACTTTCTGGTAATGTCACCTATTTTCTTTGTGAGCACCTTCTTAAATCTTTTTTTTTCGACTCCTTGCAGACTTCCTGGTCAATTCTTCTGGTTCTCTTCCTTCCTTTATCAGTCTTATTACCTGGCCATTTATTGTTGTCTTCCCTTTATGTGGCTGTATGGCAACTTTAATTCAGATTTGCGGTACACACACACACACACACACACACACACACACACACTCACACACACACACACACACACACACACACACACACACACACACACACACACACACACACACACACAAGGAATCATCAGTGATTATACACCAGGGAGATAGTGGGTAGGTAGAGTGGCCATGAACAGGGCGAGGAGGAGGCCTCTCGATGTTATGACATTCTCACTGCGTCTCTCAGCCCTTCTTACCCTTACGTGTTCATTTCTGGCTCTTCTACTTGCTTTCCTGTTTTCTCCTGTTCTTTGTCTGTTGTGCCCCGTGGATCGATTAGTAACGTACTCTCCTATTCTTTGATTTCTTTATTTTTTTGCCATGCTCTTGCACTTGTATCTTTTACCTCTCTGTACCTCTAGTCAACCATGAGCTCTATTCTTACATAGGTCTCTTCTGCTCCTGGGTATGAATTCCTCCTCTGCTTCTAATTACTTGTCGGCTACATACTCCATCATTCCATTCGTATGAGTATGTGTGAGTGTGTGTACTCATATGTACTCACCTATATGTGGTTGCAGATATCAAGTCACAGCTCCTGGCCCCGCCTCTTCGCTGGTCGCTACTAGATATATGAGTATGTATGCATGTGTGAGTATGTGATATATAGCATTTGTCTGACACCATCGCAATCCTTCTCTGGCCCTCTCTTCCCTGAGGGTGGTGGCTCCTGCAGTGGTACACTCCGAGGAGGATCTTCCAGCTGGCTGAGGACTTCTTCACGTCTTTGGGTCTGCCACGTCTTCCAGCATCCTTCTGGCGAGACTCTCTCCTACAGAAGCCCCGTTACAGGGACGTCCTCTGCCACGCCTCAGCCTGGGATTTCTGCAACGGCAAAGACTTCAGGTAAGGACACACACACACACACACACACACACACACACACACACACACACACCACATTCTTCGTAGTTGTAATGAACTAATATGAGCAGTTTACATTAGATGCCGATAATACGAAGTCTGAAAGATGACGCATATTAACACCAAGATATGAGACAGGATGAGTCAGTGCACGGAGGTGCGACAGGAGGACCTGTCTTCCACCCACCACGAGATGGCCCACGTCCAGTACTTCCTTCACTACCGTCATCTTCCTTACACCCTCCGCCAGGGTGCCAACCCAAGTAAGTCTTGTTACTCCTTATGTGTATGTGTGTGTGTCTGTGTGTGTGAGAGAGAGAGAGAGAGAGAGAGAGAGAGTGACTTTCATCATTTGCTTTATCTCTGTGAGTCAGACAGCTCCTCATCACTGCTGTCTTCGGTTCTCTTATTTCAACACTGAATGACTTACAAGTTTAGCGCTTTCCATAAATTCAGTATAATAACATTGTAAGCTCCTATTGACAAAATTTAATGTAAAACATTAACAAAGTGAGAACACGCACGAGAACACCCAGAAAAACACACACGAGAACGTTCTTCTACCTCGCGTATCAATCTGCTGTGTTGGACGCGCTTGTTCCAGCAGCGTTCGTCCCATCAGAGTGACAGCTGGAACGCTGCCTCAATATCGACAAGAGTTTCTCTATATAGTGCGATATTTTTCTCTCTCTGAATTTGACTGAAAAAAAAGTTCACTCATGAATATACTTCGTGTGAAAAATGTCTGCACTGAACCCTCTGATTAATTCTGAGTGCACTTTTCTCAATTGCATTTATGTAGCTCGATGGCTAGCGCACTCGGCTCATACACTCTGGTCCGAGGGTCGATCCCCGGTACGGCTGGAATAAAAAACATTAGGACGTGTTTCCATAAGACATCTGCTGTTCAGTGTTCATCAGTAAAATAGGTATCTGGGTGTTAGTTTACTGGTGTGAGTCGCATCCTGGGACAAAACTGACCTAATTTGCCCTAAATATTTTGCATAACAAGCGGCTTTGTATATAGTAGTATGTCACTGATGTCAGCTAGACCTGTATACCTTGTACATGTACTTATGGAAATAAAGATTATTATTATTATTATTATTATTATTATTATTATTATTATTATTATTATTATTATTATTATTTTATGGGGTCCACCTATGGTGTAAATTATGGGATCCACAGCCTCGGAGAAGTGGATAAAAAGGCTTCAAGGAAGAATATTTGGATTTCTTCCTGAAGCCATTTAAATATTCCACTTATTAAAAATTAAAAATTATTATTAAAAATTTATTCAGTGTGAAGGAGTCGTAATCGAGGGCCTAATGTAACTTTATTAACAGCAACGTTTTTCCCACACAATGGCTTTATAGAACTAGTTTAAGGGCGAAACGTTGTGGTTATTGAAGGCATCCAGTTCATATCAGTGTTATTCCACCACACAGAACCAAACTGACGACACTAGTTCCACATCTTAGTATCATTGTTGAGGAAACGTTTCTCCCGCCAGCTTTATCAGTCCCATGAGAGAATAAACAGTGGAAGATGTGAAGAGGACATTCGCGGTGACTAGTCCCTCACCTTGATAAATCAAGGCTGAGGGACTGGTCGGCTCACATTACGGCACTACTGCGCTCTGCAGAGGCGAAACGTCTCCACAGTAAAGATACCCAAGTGTTGCACATGCGTCTTGTAAGCCACTAACAGAATAAGAGAGAGAGAAACGTCTTCACCTGTGACATTCGTGTAGGTTTCCAGGAAGCCCTGGGTCACGTCGTACAGATGAGTGCCTCCACGCCTCAACACCTGCAGAAACTGGGACTCCTGCGAGGGCTGAAGGAGGACCGAGAGGTGGACATCAACTTCCTCCTGCAGGAAGCCACCGATAAACTGACTTTCATGGCTTACGCTCACGTGATGGACTCCTGGCGCTGGGATGTCTTTGACGGGACCATCCATGACAAGGACTGGAACTGTGCTTGGTGGGACCTCAGGTGAACTCAACATTATTATTGTTATTAACATTATTATTATAATTATTATTATTTTCCTCATCTTCTTATTATTATTAATCATTAATTATTATTATTTTATAATTAACATATTATTATTATCATCAATTATTATTATTATTAATTATTATCATTATTATTGTTATTATAATTATTATTAATTATAATTATTATTAATTATTATTATTATTATTATTACTATTACTATTATTATTATTAATTATTATTATTATTATTATTATTATTATTATTATTATTATTATTATTATTATTATTATTATTATTATTATTAATTATCAGTCTCTCCTCACGGTTCATACCCTTCAGATGTGGGACTAGTCTTGTTACTAACCTCTGCACTCTCTCCAGTATCTTGACATGCTTTGTAAGGTGTGGGCTCCAGTCCCTCCACGATGGTGCTGTGTACCCCGGCATGGCCATGATGTATACCTGTTTCTTAATGGCACTGCACTCTACTTCTTGATGTCACTGAACTCTGGTGGTGTTCCACACAGGTTCACCGTGCAGGGGGTCAAGCCTCCAGAGCTGCGCACTGAAGAAGACTTTGACCCAGCAGCCAAGTACCATGTGGTCGCAGACCTATCCTACACCAGGTAGATCTGAAAACCATTCCCTTTCCACGCACACAAAAACGACACACACACACACACAAAAACGACACACACACACACACACACACACACACACACACACACACACACACACACACACACACACACACACACACACACACACACACACAGGGAGAGAGAGAAAGAGAGGCATAAACTAGCAGAAACAATATATTATGCAATACTCCAGCAGGGCACCACATACTGAGGAAAACACTGAGAGAGAGAGATGAGGTAATATTCAGATATTGTGTCTCATGAAGAGGTAAACTCATTTAGGTTATTCGGCTCAAGGAGCGTTGAAGGCTTGATCCTCCTTCCATTAATCACCTTCCGGTCTCCGTCTCATCAGGCTCTCCTAACACGGAACTTTTCAATTAGACAAGAAATAGAATACGAGTCTCCACTTGGAGATAGTGATCATGCAGTCCCCACCTGGGGCTAGTAATCATGCAGTCTCCACTTGGAGCGAGCGCTAGTGGTTGATAGTATTGGAACACCCTAAGTTGATAGTAAGTAAGTAAGTTTATTCAGGTATACACAAATACAGTTACATAGATTATCATACATAGCAGCATATGTGTAAAGTACCTAGGATAACCCATAAAAGTCAGACAACGTGACTTATTTCCATTGGGGTCCTTTATTCCATTGGAACACCCTACCTAGTAGTTGACAGTATTAGAATACTCTAGCTAGTAGTTGATAGTATTGGAACACCCTACCTAGTAGTTGATGGTATTGGAACACCCAAGCTAGTAGTTGATGGTATTGGAACACCCAAGCTAGTAGCTGATGGTACTGGAACACCCTGCCTAGTAGCTGGTAGTATTGGAACACCCGAGCTAGTGTTCGAAATAATATCCCAGTATAAACGCGTGTTATTATTGAGTAAAATATTTTGTGCTTTCGTTGCATAAATTATCGTGGTGTTGATCAGAGGTGTGTTGTCTATTGCAGATATTTTGTGAGCCTTGTGTTGCAGTTCCAGTTTTACAAGGCTCTGTGTGTGAGGGCCAGTCAGTATGACCCTCTCCAGCCCTCCACACCTCTCCATAAATGTGATTTCTACCAGTCGAGGGGCGCTGGTGATGCTCTGAGGTACGTGGGAGTCTGTGAGAGTACGTGGGCTTTTGTGAGAGTACGTGGGCATCTGTGAGAGTACGTGGGCATTAGTATGAGTAGGTTGATAGTCACAAAAAAAAAAGTTTTAAACTCGCATGGATTTACGTTGTATATCCTCTCTTTTTCATGCATAGTATAATAACCATTAATTTTCCAATTATCATTATTATTGTTTATTATTATTATTATTATTATGCACAAAGAGAGCAGTGGTTGTTATTGAAGGTGATTCTCGACAGGACCATGATGAAGCTGGGACGGTCGAAGCCATGGAGCGAGGCTCTTCAAGCACTGACGGGGAACAGCAAGCTGGACGCCTCGGCCATGAGGGACTACTTCAGACCCCTGGAGGAGTGGCTGAAGGAGGACAATCAACGACACGGCGAGTTCGTTGGGTGGAGAGCAGGTGAGTTCCACGAAGTAGCAGCCAGAGGGCTGCTACTTCCCTGAGTATCTACCTTGTAAATCAGGTGAGTTTAACGAAATAGCAGTCAAAGTGATTTACTAAAACCGCAATAACGCGATCACAAACAAATCACATAGCACATGTTTTTAACCTGGATTTTTGCATATGTGAAGTATTTTGGATTTATCTCAGTTTCACTTATTTCTTTTAAAAATCCCTCTGTACTCTCCTGTATGTGATTACGGGGGTCGATTCACAGCTCCTGGCTCTCTCTGCGTGATGAGGCAATTTGAGCTCAAGGTTTCCTAGTTCTCCAGCCAGTGTTACTTTTCATTACTCAGAGAGCCCGCTGATTTGAGGAGCTCTGTTAGTCGTTACCTTGGCCTATGGAGAGCACGACTCTTTCCAACCTGCATTTTCTCCTTCGTAACGATGTGTCTGGAGCGTACTTCTACTGTCACTGAGCTCATCCTCTCCGTATGCTGGTTTAGGTCGTGTTGTATCATACTGGCTGGCGAAACGTCTCCACAGTAAAGCTACCCAAGTGAATATGAAAATGGTATACAATACCGACAGACTGATAAGTAGGACACATGTGCAACAGCTAGGTACCTTTATTTCGAAACGTTTCGCCTATACAGTAGGCTTCTTCAGTCGAGTACATGTGCTACCCAAGTGTTACACATGTCTGAACCATCTTTTGAGGTTAATCTTGCATAATAATGTCTGATATGTATGTACATCACAAGAGTCCAAATTAACCTCATCCTTGAAGCAGTCACAAGGCATCTAGATCAATTTTGATCATATTTTTGCCCGTGATTCTAATTTTTAAAGTTCCGCAATTTCCCTTCGTCCCCCCCCTCGCTATTCTTGTTTTAAATTATGGTTAGCCAAGTTTACTTTGGGTTTTTTTTCAGATGACCAGTATTGTTTGTATAAGAAACCAGCAGAGACCCCTCTTCCTGTAACACCACCTCCCTCATACGGCAACTCCCGCACCAGTGATCGACAGCAACAGCAGCAGTGATCCACAACAGCAGCACCAGTGATCCACAGCAGCAGTGATCCACAAAAACAGTACCAGTGATCCACAACAACAGCACCAGTGATTCTCAACAACAACACCAGTGATCCACAACAACAGTAACAGTGATCCATAACAACAGCACCAGTGATAAACAACAACAGTAACAGTGATCCACAACAACAGCACCAGTCATTCACAACACCAGTGATCCATAACGACAGCAGCAGTGATCCACAACAACAATAGCAGTGATCCACAACAGCAGCAGTGATCCACAACAACAGCGGCAGTGATCCACAACAGCAGCAGTGATCCACAACAGCAGCAGTGATCCACAACAGCAGCAGTGATCCACAACAACAACACCAGTGATCCACAACAACAGTAGCAGTGATCCATAATAATAGCAGCAGTGATCCACAACAAGAGCACCAGTGATCCACAACAGCAGCAGTGATCCACAACAAGAGCACCAGTGATCCACAACAGCAGCAGTGATCCACAACAACACCACTGATCCACAACAGCAGCAGTGATCCACAACAACAACAGTGATCCAGACAGTGGCGGATTTGCCAATAGAAAGATTAAGTGGCCACTTAGAGACCCTGACTACTGATGAGTCAGTGGCGGACCTACATTTTTGGGGCCTTGAAGCTTGAACTGTTATGGGGGCCCCTTCGCAAACCCTCCTCATGCAGTAGACCCAAAATTCTTAGTAATGTTGCTTCTGTGGTCCCTCCGGGATTAGGGGCCCTGAGGCTTAAGCTTCATAAGTTTCATAGTACATCCGCCTCTATGAGGGTACCTGACTACTGAGGGACTCCTGACTACTTAGGGACCCCTTACTACTGAGGAGCTCTGACTACTGAGGGGCCCTGACTACAGAGGGGCCCCTGACTACTGAGGGGTCCTGTCTACTAAGGGGTCAAGACTACAGAGGGGGTACTGACTACTGAGGGGCCCTGACTACAGAAGGCCCCTGACTACTGAGGGCCGTCCTGAGTACCGAGGGGCCCTACTACAGAGGGCCCCTGACTACTAAAGGGCCCCTGACTACTGAAGGGCCCCTGACTACTAAGGGGGGCCCCAAATCGTTAACTATCACTTTCTTAACCTTCCTGAGTTACTCCCGTCTGTAACATTTTCTAGCAATTTGTGGCACTGTGGTCTACAAATATTGATGCGCATATCATTAAAAGCTATTTTGATTCTGGAATCAAAAATATTTTTAACTTGCTCTCATATTTTGTTGAATATTTTAGGAAAAAATATTCATTTATATGACAACATGCTGGCAGCAACAGACATAAAATCAATTGTATTTCAGGCTTATAATGTTATTTTTTTTTTATTTTCATTAGGGCCAGAGCTGGCAGCAGTGAGGAGGGGGGCCCCCTTGCTTCCTAACGGGGGCCCTCCTTTCGTAAGAGGGTCCCCCTCCCCTAAGGAGACCACAATAGAATTAATTGTAATATTTGGCATTAATGGTTTATCCTAGGTAAATTTGTATATAATTTACGACCATATGGTGCTTTTTGTTGGGTGGTATGGTTGGTTGATGGTTTCTTGGGGTCACCGCCCCCCATACCCGTGGCCCGGTCCATTATGGACATTTAAAACATTGGTCTGCAACATATTTTTATCCTCTTCATTGCTCACCAATGACTAATTTCTCCCAATAACTGTGCTACACCGGCGAGGAGTGGATTAATAAAGGTAAGGAGTGGGGGGTGGCACTAACACCAGTCATAACAACAGTCAGTGATCAACCCTCATCACGCACTTATCCACCTCAAACTGCCAATTTTTTTGTTGTAGTTGTACACAAACTTCTTACTCAAGCTTAGGTGAGTACAGAATAACACTTAAGTGCATATATTAATGTGTGTCGAGTCAAAACTTGTGTACATTAGCTGTGTGGTGATTGTGTGTGTGTGTGTCAGCCTCCAGGGAGGCTCCTTGATCTCACAAACTGGACCAGTCCTCGTCTTCCTTGGATCAGACTTAATTGCCTCCCATTTCTACCCAGGCTGTGTGTGACCCACTGCGAATTTAACGCTTCCTTATAAATACAAGCAATGGGGTAAAAAATAACTTCGCGTGACCTAATTTTGTGTTTTCCTGGTGGGTAATTTACACACACTTCATTATGTATAATTAAGTTTATTCAACTACAGGTATACATAAATACAGTTATATAAATTATCATACATAGCAGCATATGTGTAGATTACCTAGGATAACTCAAAAAAAGTCGAAGTGACTATTTACAATAAGGTCCATGTGATAATTCTAGTTACCTAAATTTGTATAGCTACTTATGAGTACCTGTACCTAAATAAACTTAAACATTGCCTACACATGTCAAAGCCAGTCCTAGCATGAGACAGTTTAGGAAGAGAGCTAAAAGGTAGCTAATTTCTTGTGTAGTTAACATTGATGTACTTATTATTGTAAGCTGATTATTTTTAATGTTAATGTAAGTAACTCGCTCTACTTTATTCCTGTCCTGTCGTATCTTATTTTACTATAACTGGTTTTCACACACTTGAGTTATTTAGCTGTTTTAACTTTTTATTTTATAATCATGATTGATTTCTACTGCAACATACAGTTAAGCTTTAAATAATAACGATAATTGTACTTATGTGTACCTGTACCTAAGTAAACTTATTTACTTAACTTTTAGTCCAAGGAATTTTAATTTGACTCGCCTTCCTTGTATCAGACTTGATTGCTTCCCATTCCACCAGGCACTATGTGACCCTTACATATTTAGTGATTCCTGTGTATGTAATAATAATAATTAGTGTGGTGGTGTTTGAGTGGTGTGTGCCTGGGAGTAGGAGACTTGTCTGGGAGGGGTGCCACTCCCCCAAAGGGAACCACACAGGGTGCCACTCCCTCCCAAAGGGCACCACACAGGGTGCCACTTCCCCCATAGGGCACCACACAGGATGCCACTTCCCCAAAGGTTACTACTTTTCACAGGGGTGTCACTTATCTCACAGGGCCACTCCTACATTGTGCCACTCCTCCCACAGAGTGCCACTCCTCCCATAGTGCTGCTCCCACAGTGCCACTCCTCCCACAGAGTGCCACTCCCACTGGGGTGCTAGCTTTAATAAACCCAACATCTCTGACAGCATAAATGGTAGGGATTTTTCTCTTTTTCATCTAAATTTGGTGGCACAGCCAATGACAAGAAAATGCATATGGATTGCATAATGTTAAAAATTCTGCACTTTGAACATTTTTACTTGCATTTTGATTATGATTCATATAGTATGAGCATGAATTACCTATTCAAATTCAAAATTTTATTTCTTTTTATGCTGTGCAAAGATAATATAGTTTACATGTAATATAGCATTGTTAGGCATAAAAGGAAACCATTAGTATGTAATGCGTTTTGGGCAAACTAATAATAATGCTTTAAGACTACTTAAGAATTAGACATAGGCTATTTAGTAGGATTTTTTCTTTAGTTAACTACAGTTATATGCACAGTAAGAAAGGTAGCTAAATGAACAATGGTATAATTTTTTAAAATATGACTTATTATTATGACAGTAGAAGGTTGCTAATGGATGTTTATATGATAATCAACTGGTTGTAGTAGTTTGTAAATAAAATAAGATTTGCCTCGCATACTGAGTGTCCATGATTCAACCCCTGTGGCATGGTTGGAACTGTTCACACACAAGTCACAGGCTCCACATGATCATAATGTCAACAACCCCCCTTTCCTTATGAGTATTAGTCAACTTGTGGATCACATCCTGGGGGACATGATTAAAGGACCCCAGTGGAAATTAGTCCTCGATGACATATTGACTTTCTTGGGTTGTTCTGGGTGGCTAAGACTACAAGTTAAAAATCCAACCAAATCTTATCTTAAGACCTAATCCTCACACTCCCTTCCACACGTATACTCGACCCCTGAGCTCCATGCTTCCCAGGGCACAGGTTCCACCATGATCATAATGTTAACAATCCCCCTCCCCCTATGCTGATTCCCATGTGTCCTGTTGCAGAATACCACCCAAAAGACCAATAATCATAAAGGAATTTATTCCTACTCAATGTCCTGTAAAACTTTGTTGCCAATATTTGACACCCATTAGCCAAATCAAATACAGCAATCCTAAGCACCCACTTCGTATTAACATGTTGAATCAAATCAATTTAAGACTCTTCTCAAAAGCCACTTAATCACCCTAGACTAAACGCTAAATACTCAGTACACACATACTTATGTGCTTCCACATCATAACTTCAACAATCACTTTGAACCTTTTATCCATTGTTGACAGGAATATAAATGAATCATTGTTTTCACAAAAAAGCATTTTAGAATATATGAATGTATCTTTTGTCTTATACAAATTTGATTCAGTTATAATTAATAATCTACTGTACAACTATGAAATAATTACTAGCCTACTGTACAACTATGATATAATCCTTAGTATTAAGTAGTCTGTAAGCCAATAATGTTAAGTTGGCTCATAATGCCTAGGCATAATAGAGGCTCTCTTTGCATTGCAACCCACTATTGTAAATACAAAATCTCAGTGTACTGTTTGCAAAGACATAAAATATGCTAATGTTTGCTTGTGCCCCAGTTACCCTTCAAAGTCCAAATTCCAGGCCCTAAACACTAGCTCTCTCCTGCTTCCTCTCACCAGTATTTATGCACATGCCAGCCTCTTAGACAATTCGTCCATTTGCTCCTGGCTTGATTGATAGTGCTCTCAGAAAAACTGAAGGTCTGGGGGATTGATCCCTGTTCACCTAGCAGTAAGTAGGTACAGTGGTACCTCAGTATACTTCCTTAATTCGTTTCAGGACCTTGGACTTATACCAAACAGGATGTATACCAAATGAATTTTCCCCTATGAAATACAGTGGTACCTCAAGTTTTGAACAGCTCCCATCGAACAATTATGTAAGTGTATTTTGGGGGGTCTGAAACGGGCTAATCTAATTTACATTATTCTGTATGGGAACATATTCGTTCGGTATTGGCACTTGAACAGCCTTCTAGAACGAATTAAGTTCGTAACTAGAGGTATCACTGTATAGGGAAAACAATTAATCCGTTCCCATGAAAAAAATCCTATTGTTATTGGCAAATTATACATTGGTGGAGTTGTATAAAATAATTTAAACATTGCTTAATACTAAAATAGTATGTAATTTAAACACTGCTTAATACTAAAATACATACATAAATACAAAAGAATTAGATGAAATAAATATAAATTTAATCTCGCTTTACTTTGCTAATAGTACATAATAATAACACTCTTGGGCACATTAAATGTCTTATTTTACATCAATATAGACATTTTCATTAATCATCTATGATATTTTCTTCAAAATTATATAAGAAACACGTTACATAGCATATAAACCTGCTATGTTTATATACCGGGCGGAGGGAAAACATTACGTTTTCTCTGATCCAGCACCAAAGAAAACGTGTATGAATCTGCGTTTGGCCTAGTCACTCCACTTTTGTTTACAATTCTCGGCATGAATTATTCATTACTTCTCCCTTCGTTTATGATGGCATCTAAAGGTAGTTGTTAGAAACAATTAAATTCAGTGAACAAGGTATGTCGATGGTAATAATATGGCTCTGGGCTGCAGTGTAGCACATGGTGTCGTTACTCATTTTAACCCATACAAGTTCTAGCATGCGAGTTGTATTTCAAACAAAGGTCGTATATCAAGCAAAAGTTTTCACGTCCAATCAGGACGTATACCAATTTGAACTTATTCCAAAGCGGACGTATACTGAGATACCACTGTACCTGAGTGTTAGATGACTTTTGTGGGTCACATCTTGGGGGACAGGATTAACCTAAAGTGCCTGAAATACTCTGCATAATCAGTCTTTCTATTAGCAGTGGTGGGTACAGGCTATCTGAAAAGTTAGCTTTGCTAACCACTAATTTAAAAATTAGCTCTGCTAACGCTAAACTGCTAAATGTCCGAAAAAATTAGCGGAAGTTAACACTAAATGCTAACCGCTAACTTTTTCACATGAATTCTGATACGGTTTAGTTTTTTGTTCTTTTACTTTTAAACAACATGCCCATACTGTATGCAGATGACAGTGCTCTGTTAGTGTCAGGTAAAGACCCACAAGATATAGCTAATGTAATAACACTGGAACTGGAGTCCTGCAGCAAATGGTTAGAAGACAACAAACTATCGTTACACCTTGGAAAAACAGAAGCCATACTCTTTGGCACTAATCATAAACTGAGAAGGGTAAATAATTTTAAATGTCTGGTGTAATGGTGAACCCATCACTTCATTTTTCCTCAGTAAAATATCTGTAATCCCTGTTGACCCATGCATGTCAGGAGAATTGATAGGGAACAGTGTAGTAAAGAAAGCAAATGCCAGACTGAAGTTCCTCTACAGACAGTGTCTACCTACTGAGACACAGTATCTACCTACTGAGACACAGTGTCTACCTACTGAAGCACAATATCCACCTACTGAGGCACAGGGCCTACCTACTGAGGCACAGTGCCTACCTACTGAGGCACAGTGTCTACCTACTGGGCACAGTGTCTACCCACAGAAGCTCGCAGGACCCTGTTTCTAGCCCTTATACAATGTCATATGGACTTCTTTACGGTACTCTGCCTTGACAAAAGAACTGAAAGCTAGACTACAAATCACCCAGAACAAAATGGTAAGATTCATCCTGGACCTGGGACCAAGTGTACGTAAGCCTGGGTCCAAGAGAACATGTAGGCATGGGTCCAAGAGAACGTGTAGGCCTGGTCCAAGAGAACATGTAGGCCAGGATGAATTACAATAATTGGATATGCTGAATGTTGAAGATAGAGTAAAACAATTGAAGTTAATTCAAGATTATAAAATTTCTCACAAACAGTATCCAGAATATCTTGCTGCCAATTTTGTCAAGGCTGAGAACCAAAGCAGTCATAATACTAGGGGAAGAGAGCACAACTTCGTAGTACCTGCAGTCAGTGGCCAGGCTTCAAACACCTTTTATTGTATAGCAATAAAGGAATGGAACAGACTGCCTGCACATGTTAAAGGCAATGATAGCATGAGCCAGTTCAAGAAGAGAGCCAAAAGTTGCCTAATGAATGTAGCGACAGAAAGGGAGGAGAATTACATATATTTTTTATTTTTTTTAGCTAACACATGTAAATAACTCATTTTACCTTATTCGTAGTATATCTTCTTTATAGTATAATAATAAGATATCTCCTTTAGAGTATAATAATAAGGTATTAAAAGGGCCCCAACGAAAATAAATCACATTGGCTTGTTTGGGTTATCCTAGGTTCTCTACACATATGCTGCTATGAATGATAATCTATGTAACTGTATTTGTGTATACCTGAATAAACTTATGTACTAGAATATAAGAGAAGTACAAAATAAGGAAAAATAATATCAGAGATCACAGTAAAACAAATGCAGCAAACGGCAGAATAATGACAACTTGCATAATGAGAACTTTCAAAATAGGAGATATGTCTCCTAAGATGGTATTGTCTGATTGAGGGGAGGAGTACGGAGGACTATAACAATGCTGCTCAGATGCTGATGCTGCTGCATTGACAAGTCATGTTTACACATAGTCAGCCAATAGTGTACCTGGCTGACTGTTGGAGAAACGCCCACAACAGACAGGAACAAACACGTGCGCCATTGAAAAAGCATTGCTTTCTGACTACCAACACCGTATGAATTTTTTTTTAGTGGACTCAAAGTTAGCAGAAGCTAATTGGTCCACTAATGGTTTCCGAAGTTAGCGGAAATGCTAATCGGCTAAACAAACAGTTAGTTCCACTAATTAGTGGTTAGCGGAACTGTGCCCACCACTATCTGTTAGTATGTTAGTGATATCATACAGTTGTATACTTATAGAAATCGAGATTATATTATATCAAGTTTATATTATAAGTTTATATTGTAAGTCCTACTCTAAGATTATTTTCATATCTTAGTGACTATATTGTGTGTGCAATTAGTGTATATTTCAATTATATCATTGTTCAAGGCCCTTAACTATCTTTTGCTAACTAGTACCAACTACCTCATGTTATTTTTTTTTACTTTTTATAGTACAATATATTGCTCAACTTATTATATATGTATAACAAATCAGATCTTACTCCCAAATCAATATTATATCATAGTGACTATATGTCATTTTAACTTTGTTTACCATTACTTAATTTAGTCCCTTATATTTTTTCTCTTTTATTTTAGCTTTGTATAGCAACCTTAGTTCATATATTCACAATTGTTAAAATAATCAAGGTGCTATTCTCAGGTACTAAAGTGTAATAAGCTCATTATTTTGCCATTATATTCATTTATTTGATTACCACTTTTTTGTTCACAACAAATTATTTTAGTCCCTTTTATATTGCCTCATTTATTTTAGCTTTAAAGAACTACCTTAGCTCATATTACATTTGTTAAAATAATTCAGGTGCTATTTTATAGCTTTAGAATATTTACTTTGTCTTATACTTAATTCTAACTATAGATTCACTATAAATCTTATGATAATGAGCATTGATCCTGATACCAACCTCTTATCTAATGACTTAAAGGAATCAAACAGTAACTGTAATTACTA